TCTCAATACTCTCCAATCATTACCAGAAATCAGAGTAAAATATAGGAATTTCCTTCTGTTAACTGATTTAACATACGTGAATTGACTCCCTGTAAGTTCCTGGCACTGTGCTGAGGTTGTAAACAAATAAGACATGGGCCCTGCTTAAGCAACTCACTGAGCGAGTGTTTTTGGAGGGAGGGATAGGTATGAGACCCCTATCTTTCCCTGTAAAAACAACATCTTTTCTGCCTTTAGCCTGCCAATCTGTGCGCAGGAAGTTTGAGATCATTGGACACTGAGTCCTTTGCCTGGGCCTCTGGTGTGGATGGTTTTCTGCCGTTGTTCTCAGCCCATGTCTCTGCTGCATTTATTAAACTTCATGTGTGCACTTTGCCTCTGGCTCTACTCACTGTGGACAACCGCAAAGGAAGAGGGGTGTGAGAACTCACTATTAGTCAGCCGAAAGCCAAGCTGAGCCCAAGCCTGCAGGCTGCTGCCTTGGAGACCCAGCCCTGGGTTTCCTGTTGCTGCCTCTGCTACCAAGGCAAGAACCACAGCAGCGCCCTCAGTGTGGCCAATGAGCTCTGCTGTTCCCACCTAGCAAGGCCACAGCTGTTTTCCAGGTGCACCCACTCGGGTAGCTCAGCCCTGGCAACCCAGTATCGTGGTTTCTGATCAGCACCTATGTGGGGTGTCAAGCAGGGGGTTATGAAGGTATAGGTGAAAGAGCAGCCATCACCAACTCCCCCCTCCATCACCAACTGCAGGCTCCCACGTCATGTCTTCACAGCCTCTTTTATTAAAAGAGAGGTGGCAGCAGCACTGAGTCAATCTAGACGGATAAGCCAGGTCCATCCAGGGAAAAACAACTAAGACTCCACAAAACGTCACCTTGTGTGCATAAAGAACTTCTATTTCCAAAACATTCACATTGGTTACTTTGTGTAACATTCAAATATTTCTCTGAAGTTGCTTGGAACAAAAGATCACGCCCTCATTTTTCAGATGGAAAAAAATATGTACCCTCCCCCACCCCACTCAAGAAAAAAGCATCTACCTTGTCCAAAGTCATTCAATGAGGCGGGAGTTCCCCTGGGGGTGGATACAAGGTATCCAGACTGTCAGCCCAAAATTCCTTCTTCAAGAGCACACTGCACCCCCAAAATGAGGACAAGGTATCAATCTGAATAGTAGCTACACTGAACTTCAGGACTGTCCTGTAGTTAGCATATAAATATGCCAGTCCATGGCCCAATCTGATTTTCAGAAAAAAATATGTACTAGCACATCACAGGATCATGGATTTCTTCCACCAAAAGGAGCCTCCTGAAATGATTCAGAGACCAGAGAGAATCATGGCTGTCTTCTGGTCTGCGGGTCATCATATGTAAACTACAGTTTTCCAGAGCTTTCATATGCAGCACCTAATTTAAGTACCACAGCAACCCCGAGGTTGTCCTCCAGGAGGCTGTGACACACTCAGTAGGTGGCAGAACAGAAGCCCTGCGAGGTGGAGTCATATGCCCAAAGCCTTTGGCTCCCTCGGCCCATGCTCTTTCCATTGTGCCATGTAGTGACAACTCCTCTCCCACCTGTCCCTGAAGCGCTGATAACCTGCTGCCCAAACCTCCTCCTGAAAGCGCCTCCCGGGGTGCAGCTGCAGACAGAGCCCTGGAAGTGCAGCACCACATCCCTGATCTGTGATTAGCCAGCTGTAAGACCGTGGCAAATTCCCCCACTTCTCTGAGCCTCAGTGTATTTCCTCTAAAATAGTGTTTAAGGCCTCTTCCATTTCTAAGATTACATCTACTAGCCCTGATACCTCTTTTAAAGCAGAGAACTCAGTAGAATCAGAGGAAGGAGGGACCGAGTCCCAGGGGCTGAGGCATATCTATTTCAGTATCTCATTGTCACGTCTCTGCTGGAGACCCCACTGAGCTCCAAACTCAGGGACTTGGAAGCTGGGATTCTGGATTCACAGGTAACTGTCTAAGGGTACCTCAGTGCTCTTCAGTGAAAGAAAAATGTTCTCCAATAAAGTAAATAAAATAGGGACGTCAAAGAGCACCCAGAAGAAATAAGGTGGCTAGATATAGGAAGACACAGGGAAAAAAGTAAAGTGGGGGGAAAGTTTTTAAGTAAATAACTTTATGTCCAATTTGATTCTTAAAATAAAAACAGACACGTAGACACTCTGATAGCCTCTCCTCAGATGAGCTCTTCTCCTGCACCATTCTGATACCCTCACAGCAAGCGTAGTGCAGACTGGCCAAACCCCAGTCTGCAGCAGGTGTACCTGGGTCCTGGGGACACAAAGACAATTCTCCCACAAACATGCGGCTCTCCCCTCCTTCCCTGCCACAAGGCACTAGGGTCAGCCTCCTGGGGTAGGAGGTATAGTGGATGTGGAGGGGCAACAGACTCAGTCTCAACTGCAAAGTCAAATCCACTTCAGGGGAGCCTTTCCAGACATCCCCACCAGAAACTGGCCCTGGAACATGCTCTCATAATCTTTCTGCTTCTCTGCTGATCACAGCTGCAATGGAGAAATGAATTATGCAAATTATTAAGTAATGACTGGCTCTCATGCTTGAACATAAGTTGCTGGAGAGAAGAGACCGTGTCTGCCATTCATCAGTGAATCCTCAGGGTCTGGTGCACAGTTAGAATGACAGGATTTATGGGATGTGCCAAGAGCTAGGCAACCCAATGTAAAAAGACCAAATACTTAAGTCCAGAGAGGTTGCCCTTGACAACTTGCAATGAACTATAGAGGGTGGGCACCATTATGTCCTGCAGGTGGGTACTGATGGCACAATTTGTGACATCAAATAATGTGACTCCTTGAGTGCCTGCTGATGGCCCTCCAGCAAAGGAGGGTGGGGCGGACAGTTGAGCAAACTGAGGTGAGGCAGAGGTGGTGCAGAGAGCAGCTACCGCACAGGCAAGCAAAGAAGCTGTTCCTGTCTAGACGGAAACAGGGCAGTCTGGTCCCTGCACACCAGGAACTCGAGAAGGCTTAGCTGGGTCTCTCCTCCACCAGCATGGGAATTGAGGTCCTGGGCCCATTTTTGGATATCCGATGCCACATTTGCTCTTGGCTTTTTACTACCAAGCAGCCCACTTCCAAGCTTCTGCAGCACTCTTGATTTCCATTATTAATTTACCTGTTTGATTTCGAAATTTCAAAGATTATTGGTCTGTGAATTCAAAAGTGTGGGTCCCACATATTCAACCACTCCACTCTTCTGAAGTGCATGTAAATCTTTTAGGTTGTCATAAACTGGGATGTAATGGTGGTTTCTAAGTTTTTTATGATATTTTCTCTGTGTAATTCAACATAGGTGACCTGACAACCCTTCAGAAAAGAAGATAGATGAACTCGAAAAAGATCAGGAAACTCTGGCTCAAATTTGGTGACAATGTTTCATTGAATTGCTCTTTTACACACAAGTGAATGACTCTTATCCAACTTTGCCTAGAGGGATTTTCAGTGAACGCAACAATCATTACAACATCCTTAGAATCTTTGTGCAAAAACTTCCAATCTACTCGTTCGATGGTTCTTTTGATTACAGCTGTATGTCAATAATTCTTCTTGGTATTGACCGTTAACATCACCACAGAGTGTCCAACATGTATATTTAATTTGAAATGGACAAACAGTATCAAATTTAACTTCTAGGGCAGGAAGCAGAAGCCTTGTTATCAATCAAATAAACTGTTTTAGCCTCCTCTCAGCTGGCTTTACTTACCTGGACCACACTATTGATCTTAGGGTGGCCTTATCATTGCAGGTGACAGGCACCGCAAAGCTCTTGTGATTGGTAAGACTCCTCTGGGGAGTGGAACAGCTGCTCACAGGGGCTTGCTTCCTCAGACACAAGTGCGTCACAAGCGAGGTGTAAACTCAGGGGAGGAACAAGCCAGGGGGAGGCAGAGCTATTCTTGAGTGAGCCATGCAGAAGATCTGCTCCCTCATCCATCTCTCCTTCTTCTGGGCAGGTAAGGCAGACCCAAGAAAGACTCAGCCACAAAGAGGCATCAAGGCCCCCATGACCTGGTACTCATGGACAGTGCCCCTTACTCAGTGATCTCATTCCCCTGTCTTCACAGACCCCATCTCTTGTGTCTTTTCTCTCAGGAGTCATGTCAGCAGTTGTGTTGGTGCCTCAAGAGCAAGCAGTCACTGTGCCTGTGGGAGGGTCTGCCACCCTCAGGTGCTCCATGGAAGGAGAGACAATCACTAACTTCTACATGAACTGGTACAGGCAGACCCAGCATAGTGCACTGACTTTCATATACCGAGAAGGGAACATCTACGGCCTTGGCTTCGAGGGCAGGTTTCAAGGTGACATTGATATTCCAAACAACCAGGCTGTACTTAAGATTCTTAAGGCATCAGAAAGTGATGAAGGATCTTACTACTGCGCCAGTGTCACCCACCCTGCTGCGGGCCTACTTCTGAGCAGCTCAAAAACCATCGAGCTCTATGTAGACCAGCAGTTCCAACATGATCGGCATTTTCTCTTGAATGAATAATTTAAGAAAAGGGAGCCAGAGAAAGCTGGTGTTCCGGCCTTTCCTTCAGGTCCCTCACTCTTGGCTTGCCCGGGCACTCCCATGGTGCTCAGAGAGGCAACGCCCAGTGGGGTGTGGCCCCATGCTGAGCAGAAGAGAAGGGAAATGGAGACAAACTAATGTTTTGTAGCATTGACATTAGTAACATTCTTGGAGCATCAAAAAGGATTTGGCCACACACGAAAGTGCTTAGAGTATGGCATAGATAGAGAAGTGCTTTCCAAAGTACAACTATGGGTGATGTCCAGATTCTCCCCAACCATACACACCATGAATCTAGATGTTCTGGAGGAGAGAGATTGGGGAGGTGGGGAGGCTCTTCTTCCTTCCTTCAGCACCAAATAGTATGCACTGCCTGTCATCTTGCCCAACATACAGGGCAGGGCCCCCTCTAGCATTCTGTATTGTTTTCATGATTACTGACTGAACGTGGTGTTTGTCTCTCCCTTCATTCTCTACCACTCTACTTTTTCTTCCATATGTTCTTGAAACAAACATTGAAATGTTTCTCCAATGACACTTCTTTATCCCTTCTTTGGACAGCTCAGTTTAATAATCCACTTTTATCTTGAACAACATGTTTTTCCAAATGTAAGCAATTGAAAGGGCTCTCTATTCCAATATTGAATCTGTGGCGGAAATCAGCTTTCTTTCCAGTCTCATCTAGAAAATCTGTCTTTCACATTATTAAATAGCCTCACTGGAACTTGTGGTGGCAATCGATATGTTTGGTAACTTCACTGTGGTGATGGTTTCACGGATGCATAGGAATATCAAAATTCTTCAAAGTATGCACTATAGACATGTGTGGTTTATTGCACATCAAGTATACCTCAATAAAATTATAAATGTATTTGTTATAATCTAAAATACTTTTTTAAGCCTCACTGGATTACTTCAGGCAATATCTGGGGAAAACTTTCTCCAACTAATCCCTCCAATTTAACATGCTGCCTTCCACAGGAGCACAAAGAGGCTGAGAAGGGCTTGCCAGACACACATACTTGATTACAGACAGGGCTCCTCTCTGTTTTCCCGAACATCTTCCTAATCCTTCCTTCTCTGTGATTCTGCCTGACCTTTCATATATGTGAATGTTTACATACTTGATTACAGACAGGGCTCCTCTCTGTTTTCCTGAACATCTTCCTAATCCTTCCTTCTCTGTGATTCTGCCTGACCTTTCATATATGTGAATGT